GACCACTTTTACAATGACCTTAATCACTTGGTCAGCACCATTGGTTGATTGCGATACCAGAATCTCAATCTCGTTTCAGCTGGGTCGTAGTCCTAGCAGTATTAATGATGATGATGATATTGATGAGCACTCTAGCAAAAATGTTATTTTCTCGACTGGTTTATTTCGGGTTACCTGATTTCTTGCCCGCAAAAATTCAGATAGTCTGTGAGCCACCGTTCTCCATTCTACGGATTTGAACACCGAATATCAGTTGCTGTTCCCACGCGGACAGTTTATTGTTTTTGTCACATTTTTACCTCTTAGTAGTCGTTTAATTTCCCCAGTTCTCAAATAACTAGTAGTTTGAAAAGAATATTAACTTTTGACATAGTTGTTGAATGAACAGACCAAACATTCGTCGATTTGGTGATATTTTTCACTTATGGCGGTCTTTTTAAAAAAATCTACTTCACATACCATTTGTGTGTTCGGTATGCGAACCTTGACCGTTGTTTATCCGCAACCGCATTTGACTTCTGCGGGGTTTATTGACTCGCCAGTCCCTATTCAATCCTTGCCACATGCTCCGTTCTTCTCGTTTCTCCAGGGGTTTTTTCGTCGAACCGAGGGTTCCGCCGGATCCCTTGTCTGTGTCGGTGGCCAGAACGCATGCACAATCACTCCGCGCAGTCGTAACGCATGCAAAAGCTGTCGATTTCGGCGCTGTATTGCTGCAGGCATGTCCAAGAAAGGTGAGTCACTATTTGAAGGAAAAAATAACTAAATCACAACCAAGTAACATATTTTTTCTCTCTTTCTCATTTCCGCACTTGGTCGCAATGCATTTATTTTGTTTAGATAATGATTCAGCGGTTGCCATTTTTTCGAATACCACGAAGCCCCTTGAGCCAATTACGCATAGCCTCATAGTTTCTTCGGTTACTTTCGCGACATGGAGCTCTTGTAGACCCAAACCACTGAATTCACTCATTCGCTTGCCTAGCCGCACGTTCACAATTCCGATGCAAACCATTTCGTGGAAACGTTTATCGAAATTCTCTCGAATGTATTGAGGACAACAAAGTTTTTTGTTATGCTATTTCTAGACAAATTTTGTTCCTGTAGTTTATTCAATTTGACCCCTGGTGTGCGTGTGTGTATGCAGCTGAAAGGCAGTTAAAGTTGAAAGTAGAGTCGAAGAGAAAATGAACAATTTCAGTCAGCTAAGGTTGCGAAGAAATTGGGAAGATGCACGAAAGCCACTGTTTAGGACACTCAACCATATCACTCAGTGTCTNTTGACCACCCTTGGCTTTGTTCCAGCAACTATTTGCCTAAACAAACATCACTGGCCGTGACAATCTATTTGGTGATATACGTAACACCTGCCCCGAGCAACGTAATCTATAGAGGTCAATCTCTGGCTCCAATGGACAACCGCAGCTACCCAAAGTTCTGCGTGTACCCTGAGCATTGCCCTT